CGATGTGAAATCTGGGGTTTCATACCCTCAGAACAATATTTACAATCATTACTAACCTCAATACGGCCCAAACTCTAGCCCGCGATGTTGTTGCCCCTTGAATTGGACTCCAATTGCTCCAAATCTAACCAAAAACAGATTCATACCATCAAAATATGCTAAGGGAATAAAGCCCACTCGAAAATAATCATTTACTTCAAAAATCCTAAAATTGGCCAAACCCGACCCCCGGCCCACGTCTCAAAATCTGATAAAAATTACATCAATAGTATCCTTACACTCTCACGAGTCTACCCATAACAAATTCATCAAAATTCGACCTCAATTATCCATTCAAATCCCCAAAAGAATTCTCAAACTTTTCCTCCATTTTCCCCAATTTCCACTCTAATTTCTCAAATTAAACGATGAAATTCAAGACTAAATCATGGAATTAAACCAAAATTAGTGAAGAATACTTACCCCAATTGCTCCACTGAAAATTTCCTCAAATTTCACCTTCTCCCGAGCTCTCCAATGGTTTTTGTGATATTGGACTTAAACCCTCGATTTTTAAAATATAATCTAACTGCCTAGATATTTTCTTCATCGTGAACGTGGAAGCACCCTCGCGTTCGCGAAGCACCAAACTTCACTAACCAAAATTCCCTTCTTCGCGAACGTGAGGGCCCACCCGCGAACGCGAAGGCCAAATAGTCGACCCTACGCGAATGCGGAACGCTCCTCGCGGACGCGTAGCTTTAACTCAGGAACCTTCAAGAACGCGGGACTTACATCGCTAATGCAAAAAACAAACCAGGTTCCCCTCTCAACAACCCTTCGCGAACGCGAAGAACAAAACTCTGCAACAGAACAGAAGAAAAATCTGCAACTCTAAAAAACCAAGAATTGGACCGTTAACCACCCGAAACTCATACGAGGCCCTCGGGACCTCAACCAATCATGCCAACATATCCCATAACATCATTCAAACTTGTTCCAACCTTCGAAACACTCAAAATAATGTCAAAACATCAAATCATCATCGGATTCAAGCCTATGAATTCCAAAACACTTCCGAATTCCGAATTCGAACAAAAAATCTATCAAACCTCGTCCGAATGACCTGAAATTTTGCGCACACATCGAAAATGAAACAATGGACCTACTCTAATTTTTGGAATTCTATTCCGACCCCGATATCAAAATTTCACTACCAATCAAAAAATGCCAAATTTTCATTTTCGCCAATTCAAGCCTAAACCTTCCACAGACCTCCAAAATACATTCTGATCATGCTCCTAAGTCCCAAATCACCGAACGAAGCTAACCAAATCATAAAAATTCCAATCCGAGATTATATACTGACAAGTCAAAACTTGGTCAACCTTTCAAATTTTAAGTTTTCAAACTGAGAACCGTTCTTTCAAATTCATTCCGATTACCCTGAAAACCAAAACCGACGATTTACATAAGTCACAATACATCACACGTGGCTAGTCATGCCCGAGAACTGGCGAGCGAAGTGCAAAAGCTCAAAACGACCGGTCGGGTCGTTACAGATTGGATCCCACTTGCAAATGTTGACCTGATTTTCAATATACCTAGATAGCATATCCAGGTAAAGGATTAAAATGTAAAGTGATAATGGATCACCTTGTCTAATTCCTCTACTAGGTTCAAAAAAGGTTGTGGTAGAGCCATTCACAAGGATTGCAATAGAGCTTGATGAGATACAATTAAGTAGTAGTTTGGATAATTTAGGTGGAAAGTTGAAAAACCTAAGGGTTTGATAGACAAAAAACCATTCTATACGGTCTAAGGCCTCTTCCAAGTTGATTTTTAATATCATATGGCCATGTTTGACCTTGACTTTCTTTAGGTTAGAAATTAATTCCTGAATTGTTATATCATTGTCCGAGACTCTTCTATTTTTCATAAAACTAGCTTGGAAGGGACTTATGATTTTTTCTAGAAAAGGTTTGAGACAATCTGCAAGAATTTTGGTAATAATCTTGTAGATTGTATTACAAAGGCCAATAGGTCTAAAGTTTTTAATGTTGTTAGCGTTTGTCACTTTAGGAATCAGACAAAGGTATATTTTTTTATTTCCTTAGCAATTGTCTGATTATTGAAAGTATTATGGCAAAATTTTATAACTGACTGTCCTATGATATTCCAGTATTTGTGATTAAAAAAAGGGTGAAGACCATCTGGCCCCGGGGTTTTGAAAGGTTTGGAGGAGAATATAGCCTTCTTGACCTCATTATCTAAGAGTGGGTTATCTAGGGAGTTTAGGTCAATTGTGGGGTAGCTATAATTTGTTAACCCTAAGTCATTCCAATGAGTACAAGTATGTGAAGTTGTAAAAACATTTGTAAAGTAGTTTCAAACATGAGACATGATTAGTTGATGGTCATTAATCCAATTTCCCGCCTCATCCTTAAAGTAAATAATTTTATTTTTCCTTCTTCTATTTGAGGCAAATATGTAGAAGAATTTAGTATTTGCATCCCCATCGTTTAACCACATTATTCTAGACCTCAGTTTCCAATAATCCTCTTCAATCTTAAGAATGTCATTTTACTCTTTCTTAAGAGTACATTCTAGATTTTGGAGAAGGTGCTATAAGTGTAGTTCCTAGAATTTGGGATATCTTGGAGTCTTGCAATTAATTTTATTTTTTTCCCATTATTGTCACGACCCTATAACTGACTCGGTCGTGATGACGCCTAACGTGAAACTAGGCCAGCCGACACAAACCCCAACACCAACCAGAAATTCATAATAAGTCATTTAAAGCCAACAATTAGCTAAAATCCCATAGTATAAGTTAAAATAACAGGGCGAAAACATAACACAAGCCCGACATTGGGGTGTCACCAGTCATGAGCAACTACAACTCGTCTAGGAATAAGAAAGGACAACATAGTCTGAAAACAAATACTAAAACAAAGCTGAATAACATAAGAAGGAGAAGCACTGGGCTGCGAATGCCAAGCAGCTACCTAGTCAACTCTGGAGACCTGCTAGAAGACTGATCAGCACTCGATATCGCGACCTGAGACTCCTGGATCTGCACACAGGGTGCAGGGAGTAGTGTAAGTATGCCAACTCAGTAAGTAATAAAATTAAAGGCAGCTGAGCAGTAAGAAAACACATAAACCACGTCATAACGCTACATCAAAAACATTATATGTCCAGAATAATGTAGTAAAGCAATAAAACTCATAAAAACAACTCAGTTAAGTAAAACCTTTTAAAACATCTTTCAATAGTTTCAAACGAGTGATGAAAATAGTGAGTAATAGGATAGAAACGTAAACAGCCCCTCGGGCAAAATATGTACCACAACCTCCCCTCGGGCAAAATATCAACAGAACCAGCCTCTCGGGCTACCTCACAATCACTCGTAATCACCCACTCGGGTAATAACATGAAACAACCACATCCCCTCGGGCAATATCACATCTCACACTGGGTACCCGCGCTCACTGGGGGTGTTCAGACTCCAAAGGGGCTCCTACAGCCCGAGCGCTATAACAAGCCATTTCGTGGCATAATCAAACTAGCCCTCGGCCTCATAACAAGCCACCTTGTGGTATAACAAATTAGGCCCTCAGCCTTAAAATCATGAATCACTAACAACATACTGCGGCGCACAGCCCGATACCATAATAATCCTCACAATACAGGCCCTCGGCCTCACTCAGTCAGAAACCTCTCAGGCCACTCGGGCAATAGTAAACAAGATGCTCAGCCCAAAATATCATTTAAAATATCAAAAACAGAGTAAATATGGTTGAGTTATGAAAATAGTAGAATACAACATGACTGAATACAAATATGAATTCAAAATAGTAAGGAATAGTAGTAAAAATTCCCTAAGGGTCCAAAACAGTTGGCACGAGGCCCAAATATGACATTCAGCCCAAAACATGGTAATACTTTCCAAAACACAATGATATCAAATAGTTTTCAATTAAATATGCAACTTAACAAACATACGGGACAGATTAAGTCACAATCCCTAATGGTGCACGATCCCATGCTCGTCATCTAGCATGTGCGCCACCTCAAGGTAGCACAACGATGTAAAATCTGGGGTTTCATAACCTCAGGACAACATTTACAATCATTACTTACCTCAATCCGGTCAAAACTCTAGCCCACGTTGCCTTTGCCTCTCGACTCGGCCTCCCAATGCTCCAAATCTAACGAAAATTAGTATCTTACCATTAATACGCGCTAAAGGAACAAAGCAACAACAACAGCAAACCCAGTTTGATCCCAGCAGGTGGGGTTTGTGGAGGGTAGTCTGTACGCAGACCTTACCCTTACCTAATATAGGTAGAGAGGTTGTTTCCAATAGACCCTCGGCTCAGGAAGGGCAAGAAGAATAAAAGGAAAGCAATAAAGGAAGAAAGATGGAAGATAAAAGAAAAAGGGAGAGATAAATGATAAGTGGTACCAAATAATAGCAACAGGGAATACAATACCAGAGGCAAACAAAACCACATAACGTAATAAAAATCTAAGAATATGCAGGGACATGCATGCTACTAAGACTATGGGTGAACAACTATAAACTACCTACTAACCTTCTACCTTAATCCTTGACCTCCACACCTTCCTATCAAGGGTCATATCCTCAGTGAGCTGAAGCAGCGCCATGTGCTGCCTAATCACCTCTCCCCAATACTTCTTAGGCCTACCTCGATCTCTTCTCAAACTCTCCATGGCCAACCTCTCACACCTCCTAACAGGAGCATTAATGCTTCTTCTCTTAACATGTCCGAACTATCTCAGTCTCGACTCCCGCATCTTGTCCTCCACGGAGGCTATTCCCACTCTGTCCTAGATAGCTTCATTCATAATACTATCTCTCTTAGTACACCCACACATCCATCTCAACATCCTTATCTCTGCTACTCTCATCTTCTACACGTGGGAGTTTTTGATTGGCCAACACTCAGCCCCATGCAGCATAGCCGATCGAACTACCACTCGATAAAACTTACCCTTAAGTCTTAGCGGCACATTTCTATCACACAAAACACCAGAAGCAAGCCTCCACTTCATCCATCCTGCTCCAATGCGATGCGCGACATCTTCGTCAATCTCCTCGTTACCCTGGATAATCGACCCGAGATACTTAAAACTCGCTCTCTTGGGGATAACTTGAGCATCAAGCGTAACTTCTATGTCTACATAATAGGTTCCATCACTAAACTTGCACTCCAAGTATTCTGTCTTGGTTCTGCTCAGTTTAAAACCTTTAGACTCCAAGGTCTGTCTCCAAACCTCCAACCTCGCGTTAACTACGCTACGCGTCTCGTCAATCAACACTATATCATTGACAAATATCATGCACCAAGACACCTCCCCTTGGATGTGATGCGACACTACATCCATCACCAAGGCAAATAAAAATGGGCTAAGAGCCGATCCCTGGTGCAACCCCATCACCACAGGGAAATGCTCTGAGTCACCATCCGCAGTCCTCACCCGAGTCTTAGCATCATCATACATATCCTTAATCACACTAATGTACCCTACCGAAACACCGCTAACCTCCAAACACCTCCACAAGACCTCCCTCGGAACTTTATTGTATGCTTTCTCAAGGTCAATAAATACCATATGCAAATCCTTCTTCCTCTCCCTGTACTGCTCCACTAATCTCCTTACCAGATGAACCATTTCTGTAGTCGAATGCCCCGGCATGAATCCAAACTGATTCTCGGAAATAGACATGCACCTCCTCACCTCGACCTCCACCACCCTCTCCCAAACCTTCATAGTGTGACTCAACAACTTGATACCCCTATAATTATTGCAATTTTGGATATCACCCTTGTTCTTGTAAAGCGGAACCATCGTACTCCACCTCCATTCTTCGGGCATCTTCTTTGTCTTAAAAATAACAGTAAACAACCCAGTGAGCCACTCCAAACCTGCCCGCCCCGCGCTCTTCCATAATTCCACCGAGATTTCGTTTGTCCCCGTCGCTCTACCCCTGTACATCTTATGCATTGCCCATTCCACCTCCTTTACCGTAATCCGCCTACAGTACCCAAGCTCCCGCCGACTCTCGGAGTGCTCCAACTCACCCAGGCCCAAAATTGGCCAAACCCGACTCCCGGGCCCACGTTTCAAAATCCGATCAAAGTCTCAAAATTCGACAACCCATTCATTTACGAGACTATCCATACTAGTTTCACTCAATTCCGACTCTGAATCGGATTTCAAATTCCAAAATTTATTTTAATGAAGTTCCACAATTTTCCAAAATTTTTATCCCAAATCTCTACTCAAATGATGAATCCAACGTTAGAATCATGTATTTTAGCCAAAATTGAGGTAGAATCACTTACCCTGATGGTTTTCTTGAAACTCCCTCGAAATATTGCCAAAACCCGAGCTCTCTAGGTCAAAATATGAAATAAAACCCTAAATATCTTATTTATAGTGCACCTCTCGGATTCACGTCACCGCTGACTGTGGTAAAACCATCGCTGACCGCGCTTCTGGTAGCTGCACAGATAGGCCTTAGTATTTTGGCCATAACTTTCTCTACAGATGTCCAAATTATGATTTATTTACCTTTCTGGAAACTCGATACGAAGAACTACAACTTTCGTTTTGGAATCATCTCAAAATTCCTTGTAGATCAAAAGATACAAGCTTCCAACGTCGGACCAACGAACCTGCGGATTCTCCCCTGGACCGCCTCAGCGCTCCTTTTTCCGCCTCAGAGGTAAAACCTCCACCTCAGCGGTAAAACTTCTGCCTCGGCGGTAGATTTAAGCACCAGATCCATTGCTTGAGTTCAAGCAATGCCCGAACTCGCTCAAAACTCACCCGAAACACACTCGAGGCCCTCGGGACCTCAACCCAAACATACCAACACCTCCCATAACATCATTGAAACTTAGTTGAGCCTTCGAATCACTCAAAAAATACTAAAATACCAAATCAATTTCGAATTCAAGCTTAAGAACTTAGGAACTTTCAAATTCCATAAACAACGCCGAAACTTATCAATTCAACTCCGAATGACCTGAAATTTTACACACACGTCCCAAATGACACAACGGACCTACTCCAATTTTTGGAATTCCATTCCAACCTCTATATCAAGATTTCCACTACCAATCGGAAAACGCCAAATTTCCAATTTCGCCAATTCAAGCCTAAATCTACCACGGACCTCCAAAATATATTTCGATCACGCTCCTAAGTCCAAAATCACCTAACGGAGCTAACCAAATCATAAAAATCCAAATTCAAGATCATATACTAAAAAGTCAAAACTTGGTCAAATCTTTCAAATTTAAAGCTTCAAACTGAGAATTATTCTTCCAAATCTATTCTGATTATCCTGAAAACCAAAACCGATGATTTACATAAGTCATAATATATCAAACGGGGCTAGTCATGCCCGACAACTGGCAAGTGAAATGCAAATGCTCAAAACGACCGATCGGGTCGTTACAATTATATCTCCAAAGGTCTTAACTTTCCAAGATTTAACACTATTTATAAAGGAACTGCTGGCCCTGAAATATTCATTGCCAAGCCAGTTTGATTTAACAAGATTTTGGAAATTCGGGTGTCTGCACCAAAAAGTTTCTAAGCGGAAGGGTTGTAAGTCTTTATGTCTACTTCTAAGGATTAGCTCTACTAAAATAGGATTGTGGTCAGAGTAGGTTTTGGGTAGATGAATTATGGGGTAGTTAGGAAAAAGCTCACACCATTTTTCATTGCCTAGGGTTTTATCCAATCTTTCCATAATAAGACCTTTATTCCTATGTCTATAATTTGACCAAGTGTATTTACACCCTTTAAAGCCTAAGTCCATTAGGTTACAATTAGAGATTTTTGATAGCAGATATTCTGCCCTATTATTGTTAATAGGTTTCCCCCCATATTTTCCATTTTAACGTAAGACATTATTGAAATCACCCCCGATCATCCAAGGTTCGTTATAATTGTTAGAGATGATTTCTAGGTTGTTCCACATAGTATTACTATATTGATAATTAGTGCTAGCATAAATAGAAGAAAATAACCAAACTTTACGTATAGGAAGTACCTCAATTGTAGCATTAATCTCTTGATTCCTACGTGTGAAATTATGGACTGTGGCCACCTCATGCTTCCACAAAAAAACCATGCCACCTGATTGACCCTCCGCTGGGACTTCTATTAGTTTATAAAACCTAAAATCCTCTAGCATATGCTCATGATTGACCATCCTAGTTTCTAGAAAGGTTACGATGTAGGGCCTATGAGTATCAATCATCTTCCTAAGATTTCTTTTGAAATTGTCGTTATTACCCCCTCGAACATTCCAAATTATAAATTTAGTTGGATGATTCATTAGTTGGTTTAAATTCATATTCACTACCTCCCCATTCTCCCTCACCCCTCCTGGAAAGACAGGGTTCCTTCGTAGAGATAGCACAAGTATCATAGCTCTGTTGCCCATAGTTGGATCATGTGGTGACCTGATATCCTTTGAGCACTTGTAAAGTGCTAGGGGACAGTTGAGCACGTGCCTCTTCTCCTGCATCCCCCTAAATAAAAACACCTTTACCCTGTCTAGATTTGAGAATTCTAGGACTCACTCTAAGGCTAGGTTGAGGGGTTATTCTACCTCTTCCTCCATTACTGCCTCTGCCAGACCTTGTTCTTGAATTTCATGTGGGTGAGGTGGTGATGCATGAGGGTTCTCTAGGTTGAGTGGTTGATTCTGTGGTTGGTGGTTGATTTCCCAAGGCATGAAGATGGGATTCAGATGAGTTAGTATCTCTGATGGGAAGAAGGGAATGTCTGAGAGGGCATTCTGTGGGTTTATTAGGTTGAAGTGAGGTGGCATGTTCCACTGGTGTATCATTGCATGAACTAGGTTTGGATTCAACGATGGTGCTAGAGGTTGGAGGATGTTGTTGAGCCAAATTTGGTTCAAGTAGTTGCTCATTGCCAAACCCATCCCCTCCGTTATTATTTGTGCTAGATATTGAGTGTGGTGAAGGATTACTATTGCCTCCAGGCCATTTACTTGGATGTTGAAGGATATTGCATGTCCCATTAGCCCCATTTCCATCTACGAAAGTGGTTGGTAGTCTTGGTCCTGAGGGGGTTGGACATAGATCACCTGAGAATTTTCTATTGTGGTGGGGCTTGGGGTAGGTTCTTCATCATTTGGATTCTGTGTTGCCTTAGTATTTGGATTAGTCTGTTTCTTCTTCTCAGAGAAGATGGGATTCTGGGCATTTTGAGTGGATTTATTGGTATTTAATAGGTTTAAAACATTCGTGGGATCTGGATTACCAAAAGAGGGGATGGGATTGGTGGTAGAGGTAATGATTTGAGGGTCTTCTTACATGGCCTCTGAGTGGCCATCTTTTAGATTTATTGAGTGAATTTGAAAGGATTTAGGATCGTTACCGTGTTCACTGGGGAGGGCCATCTGTTTATCTTTAGGATTCTTTAACGCCATGTGGACAACATGCTTTGGGGGGTTGATATTCTCAAATCTTTGGGGAAGATTTTTGCTTGTTTGATCAGTAATAGAAGGATTAGTAGTAGGTTTTTTAGTTTGTTTAGTGATTTGTCATGTAGGATTAGTAGTCTTATTAGAGTTAATGATTTTTTTGTTTATATCTAAAAGCATGCCATAGTTTTCATTATTAGTAGAAATAGACACGTATAAGTCTGATAAAGCCATGTCATTCTCTAAAGAGTCCAAATGGCTAATTGCATGGGGGTATTAGAGTAATATTATTTTTATTTTTTTAAAATTTGTCCAAAACCATGTGCTCTTCATCTAGAATGGTGAAGTGGTTTTGGACTGGAAGAGTGGTATTATCTAAGTTCTTCTTGTTCATAGTTTTGTTAGTAGATTCTTTTGCTTTGTATTGTAGAACTTGAGTGTCAATATACTTACCTACGTTGGCGTTGAATAAATTAACTAAGATACCTGGGCCTTGAAGTTTATCCTCTGGAATGAGGTTATTGGATGGATTGTTTTTGACATGCTGCCTCTTACCTTTGTTGATGATGACAGTTTTCCATTCACCTTCTTGTTTCTCCTTGATCAAACTTGGTGTAGCATTTTCTGGGCATGAGTTTACTTTCGTATTTTGTTGGATAAATTTGCATATAGGAGAGGTGTGCCCCAATCTTTCACATTTCATGCAAAGTAGATTTTCACCTTCATAGTGAATATACTGCTTGTGTGTATCAATATAGATAAATGGTTGCACTGAAAGATCCAAAGGAATTTCCACACAAAGCCTTGCGTATTGACCTCTCATTGTTGTTGATGTACAAACATCAATTTTCAGTAATCGACCATTGGAGTTGCCAATTTTTTCTAAGATTTTCCATCATAAAACTCCGTTGGTAATTGTGGAAACTAATCCATATTGCTGAGGTAGTTAATTTTTCGTTTGTAGCCACAAAATTTAGTTTCCATTTGATTACAGATAAATAATGGTCATTTACAAACCATGGACCTTGATGAAGAGCTTTGTCCATGTATTCTTTTTTCTTGAATTTTATTATAAAGTAATCTTCTCCCAGATCAATTAAGGTGAAATTTTTCGTTGGTCTCCAAAGCTCTTGGATCTTCTTTTTTAAGTATTGATGCATCATACGTTTTCCAAAAAGTTTGATAATGATGGAGCATTTTCAAGGTTCATAAATTCGTTGTTTGTCCTCCTCCATCAGTGTGATCAACCTAATCTCTTGTGTGGGAGAGTGTATTAAATTTGTCAGTGCTTCCCCTCCTTCTTCTAAAAAAGTTCCTGACAGCTCCATATTGGATTGGCACACGTTTGGGGTAAAATCCATGGTCTGAGGATGTTAGCATGTCTCTATAAGATGTTTTAGCTTCTCCACCATCCTGTCGTGTTGTAAATTGTGAGGCAATGTCAGGTGATTTGGGGGGGTATTCATTATAAAGATTTATAGGGTTAGGGTTCATAGTAGAGAGCAAACTAAAGAGCCTCAATAACTAGCATCCCTGATAGTTCCCTCTTTGTTGTTCAAAGTTGAGGGAAAAATTTATTTTTACACCAAAGTTGGGGGGTGTAAAAATTACAACATAACTAACTTAACTAATGTTTACCTTGAAAATGGTAATTACAATTAGATTTGATTTTGTGGTTTTAAAAATACGTGATTTATTTTAATGCTAGTTGTTAGGCAACAGATGCTAAGTGTGAGCTAGGAAAGTAAAGTAAGAGTAAGGAACAACATTACTATCCAAACCAAATGGCTGTGGATCGGGGCCTCGGACTGGCCTAAGTAGGGCCTCGAGGTCGAGCTTAAACGTCGGGCTGGGACCGGTCAATAAAGAACTAACAGTTCTAAGGGCCTTGATGATGGCTCTTTATGATCAATGACGAGTAATAAATGAAGAATAATTAATGAAATACAATAAATGTAAGCAATAAATCAAAGAAGAGACAATAAAGAGTGTTTAAGTTAGAGAGCAAAGAATGTTCTTGTGCTGTATTGTATATCATGTGTGCAAAAAAATAACAATGGTCCCCTTTATATAGGAGAGAGAATCCCAATATAGTACATATGCATTTACTACAAACCTCGAGCATAAGGAACCTTCGGGGTCGAACCTCGAGCTGTGCCTCGGGCCCTTTGAAGACGGGTTGTGGAATGTCATAATGACCATAAAATTGGACTCTCCGATTTTAGCCACGTTGACATCCAATTTTGTCCTTCCTTTACCCTATTTATTCTCTTGAGCCTCTATTTCAATTGTAGATTCCATAATAATAACTATTTTCTCACGTTTTTTCATTACGTGCTTTATTAATTTAAATTACAATATTAGGCATTTTAAATATTTACGATTTATTTATGTTAATATTTACTTCCTATTTCATGCATTTTTAAAATCACTACGAAATTAGTAATCGTCATTATTTTATTACTGTAGTATTATGAAATGAAATTATCCAACCCAAATCCCAAGACCCAAAACAATAGAAAAGAACTAAGCTTGACACTTTGAATCCTGGGTCGTAGTTTCAGTCAACTCTGAAGCTCTCCTATGCACTCCCATATCTTTTCCTTATTTACTTGATTTATTTACTTGATTTGTGTTCCATTTTCTTTCCTTTTTGTTCTTACCTACCTAGATTGGGAGTCGAAATTTTAGTCCCAATTCTAGTCCAAACGGCTATCTTGTTTGAAGACTCGCATGATTTTCTTTCCATTTGAGCACCCGCAGATTTAAAATCAACTGGATGAATGTAGATAGATTTGGGGGTAAGTGTTCTTTGTTTCTCATATTGATCCAATCGCAATTATAGAATATTTCTTTTGATTTTCGAATTTTAAAGGAAGTGTAATTTTTGAATTTTTACTGATTATATGGAACTAATTTTTCCCCAAAAACTATAGTACCTTGTTTTTTAGCATTAATCAACAACGGCTCTTTTCAAAGAAAATTTGCTTGTAATGATACACAATTTTTACTGATTTCTTTCCTTCCTAATTACAAACGTTTATTTTATTCAAAGCTATAAATATTGGCATCCTTGGCACTTCAAGAGGGGGAAAAAAAGAAGAAATTGGCATTTTCGATCACTACTTTCACTGCAACTATAGCAATTTTCACTATTGAGATATTACTGTAATTGCCTCTCCGCTTGCCGGCTATAAGCTAAGGGAAAGCTTGGTTCTTTACCCTCACTTAATATAAATACTGCTCGAAACTCTCGAGGTTCTCATGATCTCAAAGTATCAAGTTCGGGTATCAATAGTAGATGTTGTTCAACTTCATTTTCGGCGATTAGTTATTGGACTTTAATCGTGATTCGGATTTCTGGCTTTTTATATTTATCTCTGCACGTCAAACTGGTTAGTCTTTTAGACGACTCATTTAAATTTCGTATGTGATAATTGTATGTAAAATAGTTAGTTTTAATTCACACATGATATGTTGCTTGAATGCTAAAAGCATTCTACTTGGAAGCGCGCAGGTTAGCGCTCTTCTCCTTTCTCCAGAATTTTGCCTTATGTGTGTATGAAATTTTGTATGCATATGGCCGTGCTGCCAGTGCCAGGTAACACTCTATTGAAAGCACATGCCATTAGAAAATAACTACGTCTCTTAATCCTTGTATGTCTTATTGTCCTTGCAAGCCTTTTTGTGACTATTTGCGCACTAGAAACAAGGTCTTAGTCTCAATGGATGTTAAAATTCTCTTGTCTATTAATCTGATTAAAAGCATGGTTATTACTCTTCCTGAATATCTATTCTTGTTAAAGCCAAGTAGAGATTATGTTTTAGGATTAACCTAGCCAATAGGAACAATAATGCTTGAACTATATTGTAGGTTCAAAAGATTAATTCATTGTAAGACTTCATGCTTATCCTCATTAAAATTGGAACAACATCTACTGCTCTTCTATGCCTTTGACTAGTGAATATGATCATTTGCTGATCATTTGGACACCATGCCTGGTAGAGTAATTCATGAACAATATTTGCTTGCTTTTCGTGTTTGATCTTGCTGTGTGAACATGTTTCTGTGTTTAATTACATAGATATCATATTTTATGTTCAATCATGTGCTTGAATATCACCTAGATACCATGCCTTCAAGATTAACAAGCATGGTCCCTATTAAGAAAAGGGGTTTGAGTAATCTATAATATACGAAATCATAGTGTGCTTATTCTATGCCTATTTGATTTAATAGAGATATAGTTTTAACTATCCTTAGGTTATAGCTGAATAAGTTTTGTTAAAGCTAGTAGTTTCAAACCTTTTCTATGTTTATGTGATTAGGAGGATCAATGTGAGGAGATTTTGTTATAAAAATTATAACCCGTGCTGTAAAAGTCCATGTGCTATGAGCATATAATCCATATGTGTGTTTAGCTCTTTATGCGCGTGTGCAATTTGTATTAAGTGAATTGCAGGTATCTAAATTTGGTTTGGATGAGAATTTGGGTCGCCGTAAATGCAAGGCCTAAAAGAGGGGTCAACCTGGAGTTCTGAAGCTGTCTAGTTATTTTCCTAGGCCATACCATTTTTATCTACTTGAGCATGTAATAAGACACTGATAGTTGTGAAGGGATATTGGAAAAAGGAGTGATTTGCTATTGCGTGCTAATTTTTATTTTCTGCTCGTTTATGTGCTAGTTGTTGCGTGTCAAATAGTTAACTATCAGTATTTGGGATTTTTGCTTGCTTTCAGAAACTAAGTCTTTGAAGCTAAACATCTTTTATACTTTATTTAGCACCTGCACAGGTGCAAAGTTTACATATATTCGAATGAGATTGTCTATTTTCACCTTTCTCCGGAAACGAAGCCTGCATTTATTTTCTTTGTACCTTGAGCCTCTCTATTATTTTTTGAAAGAAGTTTTAAGCTATTATTTGTTTAGTATCTATTCTTTCCAATTTGCCTAACATTGCATATTTCAATAAGGCAAATTTTCGTTCCTATACCATATAGGAAATTATATTACCAAATATGTTCATAGTTTGCATATTACTCTTCATGCTAATAGTATTTCTACAAAATATAGACCATGCATTAATAAGGAATCATTGTAGTTGTAGGCTTCCTTATTTAGGCGCGCTAAAATTGGGGGATTAAATATTCTTCCAGATCTTCCAAACGCAAATCACGCACATTAATCTTCTTCGTCAGTTTCGTTTCAAATTTAGCGTCTCTACATCAAACGCAATTATTCTTCTACAATTCAAAAACGAATTGATTATTCTTCTACAATTCACAAATCAAAAACAACTATCTTCTATAATTCTTCTACATCAAACGCAATTATGTCCAAATTTCAGTAATACAAAGCAAATGAAAAGAGAGCAGCAATTCCACCATTGACAGCCATTAAAAAGCTTTGAAGCTTTGAATTCAAATTTGGGTTTTCAAAAATCATTATTTATTTGGATTGAGTATTGTTGCAAATAATTGGGAATATGGTTTGGAGTTTATATCTCAATTTTGAGGGGTTTTGGTGAAGATTAGACTTGGTTTTAGCTGAATTTTAGATTGAAACTCGAAGGAAAAGAAGAAGAAGACATGACATACATTATATTGTAGAAATTGTAGAAAAATTATAGATAAATTGTGGAAAAATTATATTCTGTTATTTATTTATTTTTCTTTTATTCATTTAACTATTGTATGAAAGTTGAACAACATTGTATAAAAATTATATTTAAGTGGTATTATATTGTAGTTGTATATAACTTAGTAGAAATAATGTACGAAATTTATAGATAATTTGTAGATAAGTTGTATAATATATAATTAGTTGTATGAAAATTGTTTTTAGTATGTATAAATCATATACAAAATATACAAGACATATTGTATAAAATTTGTATGTAAGTTTTATGTTATTGTAGTTGTATTTCACTGGGTGGAAATAATGTGTGAAAGTTGTAGAAAGTTGTAGATAAGTTGTATTCCTCTATAATGGGAGATGTTGGCATATCAAGTAACTTTAGTGTTCCAGACGAACATGCATGAAAATAAAGATAAATTTTGTTATGAACAGTTTGTAGATATTTTGTAGATAATTTGTAGAAACATTGAAATTCTGTATTTTCATATTAAGTTTTCAAATGATATGTAGTTTTGTTGTAGATTAAATGTAGAAAACAAGTCATTGTGAGTCTTATTTGACTCATTCCTCACATTCAATCTATTCTACAAATTCACGCCTCTTTAAATACAATACAACCATACTTTCTTGAATTTAAAGGTATAGGAATATATATAACTTAAAAATATCTTCTCATCTGCACAAGTTAGCTCGAAAACAGACGAAGTGGAATAACAAGCTCTCATTAAAACTTTTAACACAAAAACACAAAAGCTCAAAATAAATAAACAACAGTCTACAATTTATCTACAATTGCTGCAATATAATGTATGTCATGTCTTCTTCTTCTTCTTCTTCTTCGAGTTTCAATCTGAAATTCAGTCAAAACCAAGTCTAATCTTCACCAAAACCCCTCAAAATTAAGATATAAACTCTAAACCATATTCTCAATTATCTACAACAACACTCAATCCAAATAAATAATGATTTTTGAAAATCCAAATTTGAGTTCAAAGTTTCAAAGCTTTTTAATGGCTGTCAATGGTGGAATTGCTGCTCTCTTTTCCTTCCCTCTTATATTACTGAAGGAACCCGAAATCATAACCATCAAAAGTTATTACTGTGTATGAACTTTGAAGATTTGACTTAAATTTTGACTGGTTGTAGAAGAAAAAACCTTGATTTTGGACGTTAATGGTAGAGGGTTTCAATTGTTTTTCCGGTTTTAGCAGAGGGAATAATGGTTTAAAACGTGGGTGTGTGGTGATACGTAGATGAGGATGTGGGGTTGGGAGAGAGAAATGTGGGGGGTGAGGATTTGGAGGAATATACGGTACCATAAATTTAGGAGTGATATAAGGTACAATTAATGTACAGTTAAAACACCTTATGGTATAGAATTGATAATTAGGTATACTAAATGTAATTATATCAAACCTTAAACATTGAGGGTAATATAGTTTCCTATATGGCATAGGAATGTAAAAATTCCTTACAATAAAATGCTTCGGCCCGTTTTCACTCTAGTTTCTACCTCCACTTTATACTCCAGCATGCTCTTAACTAATTAATATAATCCTAAAATTAGAGGCCAACATGAGCCCTTATTTGCCTTATGTATTATTTGTTTAAGTCCTAACCTCCCTTACATGTGACGCTAATAAGAATAAAAATAGAAACCTGAGCTTTTTAAGTTTAGAACTTCCCTTTAGATAGCGTCCAACGCCTCCTGGACTATAGGAATGGGACGGGTAGACTTACTAAGGCACGATTTAGAATCAACCAGTATACTTTAGGTAACAACTTAAATATAGTAATGAGGGTAGCGGACATGATACACAAATTGCCCGAATAGCCCTTGCACTTGGCTATAAAAGTCTTGGCAGACTTTGCACGGGAGTTGATCCATCGGGCTTAAAAATTTATGTCCCTCTTTAATGTAATTAAGTAGACTTTTATAATTTACAATTCTTACATTTTTGTCATGACTAGTTTTAATTAATTGCTTTTAATTGATGTATATACTTGACCACTAGTATTAATTCACAGCTTAGCAACTTACAACCTAGTTTAATTCAATAATTCCACATAGTTTAAAATTCGGTCGGGAACTACACTTGTGGAGCTCGAAGAGTGCCTAACACCTTCTTTTTGAGGTAATTTGAGCCCTTACCAGATCTTTGGTGACGCTGACTAGTTAAAACAGAGTTATTTGCAAATAGGTGCCCTAATGCACCTTAAAAATCGTTAGGTGGCGATTCTTCTCTTTTAATACCCACTAAAAGAGTTGTCACATGTCGAATCCCTCTTTCGCGAGAAAATGGGGCGCGACAACACTTCATTCTTAATTTCTTCTAATCTCTAATTAGTTATCCATCATCTCTTCTTCAAGCAAAGCTGCAACCAAAGTTTTTGCTTCCTCGGCCAAAGTTTCGGCTCCTATTTTGATCATCTTCCCATCAGATACACATGGCTTATAGCAAATGCACCTTCTGAGGATTTTGCTACATTTTCCATCAGCAAATCCCTCACTGAGACAAGCTTTTCTGCATGGTGGTTTGGTAATGCATATTCCAGGGAATGTATTGCTTTCTGCTTTGCAAGTACTCTGAGTTTGCACCTCAATTTCTAGTACAGGGTGAAAGGTTGAAACCTCCAAATTTCTAACACTTTTTCTTTTATGGCTGGCCTTTATTGTTTATAAAGCTAATTACAAAGTGAGATTCCTCATGTATTTTTGTTATGAATTAAAGTTAATGTGCTAGGGAACACAAAAAAGAAGAAGATATAATTCACTTAGTGATTGCTTTGAATCTCAAACATCATATATATGACTATGAGGAAGGGCGTTTTGTTTTGATGAAAACCTCCAAATTTCTAGCACTTCTTTTCTTCACTTTTATATATACTCAAGGTATGTTGTTAACCGAAGAAGTTAATATCAATAAATAAAATCAAATTGCGCCCCCCTCCCCCCAATCTCTCTTCCTTTATATATGTTTTTTTAATGGTAATTGAGAACCTAAACAAGTAGGAACACTAAAATCAAGACCATTTAAATCTACTTAAACTAATTCCTCAAATATATTTTCTCCACACAAATATAAAAGAAAAATATAATAAAAAAGAAAACCTTAACTATTTTTATTCAACAAATAGAAACCTAAATAATGGAACAAAATTTATGCAATCAACCCCCTTTCCCCTAAAAAAAAAAGCAAGATTCTTTATAGTTAAAATGTAAACAAATATGTAAAGTTATTCGATACTTATGTTAATAGAAAATAATAGGTATTCGATAGAATAATTAAAACGTACACAAATTGACCTAAGTAAAAGAGCAAAAAAAAAAAAGCATGGATACAAAAAAGTAGTCGTCGTGAAATACTAGAATTACTTCCCTTGTGTGTCAATTTTCATTTGTCGGTGAATATCGTCTTTTTTCTCTTTCTTTTGTTCTACTTTGAATTGGAGCCAATTGATGATTTCGAAGACTAAGAAGATGAAAGTAAGAGAGGCAATAACAGCGATGTAGGCAGGTCTCCACGTGTCGTCTTCTTGCATTATTTTTATCCCTTTGAAAATGTTGACACAAATCACTGCGAGTAATGCATACCCTAGAGAATGATGGTATATACTCCAGTATATGTGAAGTTCATCGTCCTTTTTGGGTTTTAATCTCAGTGCCAGCGTCTGTATATAAAATTTAACCAAATGATTAATTAGTATTTGAGAAGTTGCGGTGATAGGATATTTATCAAGAAAATTCAAAAAAAAAGTAAAAAATTAATTTGCAAAAAAGCCAAGAGAATTCATTATGTAATATACATACATAAGAATGAAATTGAACATTATATACATAATTTAATTTCCCTACAAAAACAGTTCGAACGTACCCTCATCCACCCCTAATTCTGGCCATGCGTTTTTGGTGTATATCATGGATTAAGTTAATGAAATCCCTAAACTTCAACTAGGAGGAACGTAGAATGAATATTTCTAATACTAAATTTATTTATATCCTTTCTCTAAAGAGATATTTTGTTAGAAGTATTTAACTTATATATGCCCCCGTTCTTGTAAAAGAATCTTTATAGTATTAATTATTATCCATATTCGTAGGAGTATATAATTGGAGTAATGACTTCAAAATTATCCTCTGGGCCCCAACTTCAAATCTTACGTTAGTCTTGTTGATTAGACATCAATATAATCTTGCCACTTATACGAGTGAATCATTTCAAAGGGCATGGAGAAATAGTAACTTTAAATGGAGGGATCGGGGCAATGAAGAGAAAAATATCAACCTACACATGGTGTTCACACGAAATATATCAATTTATCATAGTTAAGTGATAGATAGAATGAGAGTATATATTCTTAATTTTGAGATGAGAGTACATACACTACTAATAAACTATGATTAGTGGTAAAAGAGTTTGTTAAACATTTATAAAAGAACTGAAGCATTCTATCCGTCGATGAATAAAAAATAACAAATATAATAATTTCTTGTTGACCGTGATCCATGAAGAAGGGTACACTGGATCATGAGATTGTAATTCTTTTAATCGAATACTTATTGTGACAACGAATATTCCATTTAAAAACTAAAAACAACTCTCCATTTACTTTTCTTAATGTATTGATAGATTTCGATGTAAATACTGACCGTGAATAAAATAAAATAAAAAATATTCAATAAGTTGGTGGGGAAAGAGAGAGAGTTTTACTTGTAGGGTGGCAAATGTGAAAATGAAGATGCCAAAAGCTCCATGTTTGGGAAAAGAGTAATATTTGGAAGAAATTCCAAGCCAGAGTCCAAGTCCCCATCCAGTTGCCCCAATAATATATCCAAATGCTTGACATGTCTTATGAGCATGTTTCCATTGATCATGTTCATTCCATTGGATTGGTCCCTTTTTGAAGTACCTGGCTATTATCACCCCAATTGGCAGGATTACACCCCAACCAATAATGTTAAGTATTCCATGAGCCTGAAAAAAAAATTATTAAGCCCCAAAAAATAACCGTTATAATCTATGTATATTGTCTAGGAAAAGTAAATGCTAAATTCGACCGATTATTTATATAAAGATCTAAAGAAAAAACAGAATTTTTTTATGATGTTTTAAACCGTCGAGCGCGCTTCAACATCTGATAAATATATACTTGATATGTTTGGTATATATATGCAGGAGTGACCCATTACAAAATTTGGATTCTAAATACCTGTGTTAATGCTTCCGAAATAAATGGAAATTATGATTTGTATACAAGAAAATACAATTAAATAATAATTGTCTAAGTAAATTATTGGTCTAAGTAAGATTAAATAATAATCAATTAAATATATATGCCTTAATTCCAAATTAGGTTAGTTATATTAAAGTATGAGTACGTAGCTGAGAGAAAAAAAAATCATATAATGGCAAAATCAAATCTTTTAAGGACTAATTTTTACCATCTACTGATAAATGGGCTTGAAAGCCGTCTTAGAACAATGTAACATCGATCTGTTATACCACTAACAAAATGTAGTCGAGTAGTATGGGGTCTTTGGTAAATTAAAGTACTTTCTAAATGCACTCGTTAGGGGACGTTTGGTTACAGCAATTATGGAGGTTATCAGTATATTTCAGTGTTTGGTTGTGAATATTACCTAAATGCATGATAAAGTTTATACCAATATCATGGGAAGGAGTTGAGCTAGGTGGGCGAAAGTGGATTCAACCAAATCCCGTTCGCCCAGAAATTATATTGTTTATATATAAGGTTAATGTTTTTTCATATACATATATTAAATGTTGAACCCCTAGTTTCTTTGCGTTTTTCCTTTTTTTATTTTCTAAATCTCCTTGATGAAAATTCTACTCCCGCCACTGATCATGATCATGAGATTATCTATTACATATAGAAGGTGAGATTATAATCTGAGTTATAATTCTGGGATAACCAACCAAACGATCCCTGACCGGTCATCGGTGTGCTCCTTCTTTCTAATAGTTCCAAGGATGCATGCATGCATGCTATGAGGAAAGACAACTACATGTAACCGTCCATAATAAGTGGGATTAGTAATATTGAAAATAAGGTAGATAACCTGGTAAAGCAAGTTTAAGATAATGCAGATTTAAACAGTCAGTACATAAATTAAATCTGGATAAATGCAGACATCATAACCAAGAGAAAAGAGAGAGTAATTAAGGAGGATGATCCAAAGTTAATTAGGCTTACAGTTCTTGCATGATGACGTTTAGCAGCTCTAATACTTAGACATTTGCCAGTCTTCAAATCAATGGTCTCTGTGCCATCATAGTTATGGAGAGTTTTATCATGAATCTTGGGTTCCATTCCTGCTGCAACTTTTCCAACTTGCCAAACATGATTAATTCTTGAAACATTAACTGATTGAGGAAGATGTATAGTGGCTTCTATTATGTGATACTGAAGATCCAGAGAACTAAACCTCAATTTGCTTAAATTCAAATCAATAGGAGAAGGTAACAACTTGCACTCTATTTTGATATATTTTGTGACATTGTATTTTTCTCCAAGAAATGAACCATTGGTCTGCTTGATACCAATAAGAGCTTGAGTCCCCACCATTCTTGGTTCTGGTCCAAAGTTCAAACCCCAGGCTAGCCATCCTGTTTCACTTTTTAATATAGCTCCCACCATTACCTGGATCATCGGCGAATTCAGAATTTATAGTTAGTCAGCAGTGGCAAAATCAGGATTTCTAACAAGGGAATTAACAAAAGAAGAAAAATATCACATTTGAGATTTGAAGCAGTCAAACACGACGCTTTAATCGTTTTTACTACTAGCGCAGCCCGGTGCACTAAGCTCCCGCTATGCGCAACGTCCGGGGAAGAGCCTGACCATAAGGGTGTATTATACGCAACCTTACCCTGCATTTCTGCAAGAGGCTATTTTCACGGCTCGAAGCCGTGATCTCCTGGCCACATGGCATCAACTTTACCAGTTACACCAGGGCTTCCCTTGAACTACGTACTATTCAACAAATTTATGTATATATACTTACAGTGTAACTAATTTCCGGCAAAAGGAGTTCTATTACACAATGTTAGTGTGCGTACATAATGAATTTAATCTAAATATATAATCACAAGCATAATATTCTTTTTTTGTGCATGTGCTTATGATCGAGATGAAAATAATGGGTTCAGTTGAACCTGGAGGATTCGAGTGTTGTTCTCGAGATTCCATGCAAACTCAACTCCATTGCTATGTTCGTATCTCTTGCATAATGTTAGATTTCTGCTGAGGGCTTCAGACCAGAAGTCATCACTGCAACGATGAGCATGAATTGTAATTGAAAATAAAGACAAAAGAAAGATTGAGTTTGAGATCAAAAATATTAAATAAGATGGAGACATCTTCACTTTTTATTCTCTTTGTTTTTGCCTTTTTCTATTTTTTGTGTTTCTACCTTAAGGTAGGTATATATATAAGAACTAAGTTAAAAGGGGGAAAGAGGAAAATTTAACTTGAGCATGCATCCATGAGTTTTTGCATGGAGTCAGAAAAATTGGAGTTAAAAAGAAGTAATGTATATGTTCTGTTTTCTTTATTCATTTTTCTCATCACTTTTTGGATAATATCTGAGGTTCTTTTTCGGAACAAAGTGTGAGAGGGTAAAAACAGTGTTTTAGTTACTCTTCCAAGGTACTTACTTTACTCCTCTTTTTGTTGCTTTTCTTGTTTAAAATGCTTTTACCAAAGTGAGACGCTTCACACTTTATTGTATACTCCAACATTAATGTGTTTCACGTATTTAGTATGAAGGAATTGCAATGACTAAAATTTTTGAATCAACTTGTCAAAAAAAATAACTCGTTTTCATGTTGTTACTACGGGTTAGTTGTTGAAACAAGAATTAAGAAGCTATTTCAACTAAGGTCGTATAAGTAAGAATGCAAATTATGTCAAGGTAAACAAAAGGAAAAGAGGTCAAATTCTCTTTATGATTGTCTATTTTAAATATTCAGCTTAAATATAAAAAAAAGTATCTTGAGAAGTCACCATTAAGCATATTGCAGTCACACTAGAAAAGAGGTGTCAAATGGCATGTGAAAAAAGCTCACATAAAACATATACATTTTGTTACAAATGCTGGTTAACCATGATAATAGAATACCTTTTCCATTTAAAGAACAATGTCCTAAACCTCCCTCGTCCCTCGTACACTTCACCTCGTAACCATGATATA